ATGAAATGAGGTATAAAAAAAAAAATCTTTAAGATAAAGACTGATATAAGTTTAATCATTTGTGAAATGAGTATAGAATATAATTGACTAATTACTAATGAAAAAGATATAAAAAAATAGATTTTATAATTTTATAATTTAAAATTTAATAGAATGGGAACCAAAATACGTGGGGGTGGGAATAGCCGAACCCATGTCTTATCCTCTCTACCGAAGACTTGATCAAAGCACCAAGCCTAAAAGCTGTCCAGTTCACATAGGGAGGGATGATCTATTGATATGGACCCCCACATTGACTTATTAAACTAATAATGTGCCAAGTCATAGTTTTAAGACATGAAACAGGTGGCCGGTCAATCAGAGCCGTCCATCTATCGCTTTAGACGGCCACGATAGACGTAATGGATGAGGTGGCCGGTAGACGACTGACATCATTAGGTGTCTCCTGCTTAGGCAAGTGTCTCGCGTGATGATCCACAATTCGTCACAGCCAAGACTAAGAAGGAGCCAATTACACGACTTAATCTCTCAATTTCATTAGGAAAAATTGCACTTTTACCCATGTCAGTTATGATGGTGTTTCATTTTGGCCCATCAACTATTAATTTTTTTTTTCATTTCCCTTAATACTTAAATATATTTCACATTTTTCAAATATAAAACTTTCTTAATGTTTTGGACAAAAATATCCTTATGCGTAGTATTGTTTCCAATGTCTAAATCTGGGACACTACCCTCATGTAGGGGGTAAGATTGTCTACATCGAACATTTCCCAAATCCGTAGTGCCAAGAGACTCTTGAATTATGCTGCCCTTATAAAGCAATAATCATAATTGAAAGTCCAATGGTAAAAAATGTAATAGTTGAGACGATAATGTGGGATTAATAATCATAATTAGGTGTATAATATAAGAAACGTGATAGTTGAGAGAGCAATATGAGATAAAAGCATAGTTGAGAGGATTAGCCAGAGTTTAATTTGCCCATTTGATTATTTAAATCTCGGAGCAGTCGTAAGCATCGAGGTAGGGTTGTCATTATTGAGAACCTAATGAGTCATGATTTTGATTATTTAATTAATGATTAAATTATGATTCTTAATCACATGGGTGGATGCTTCTGATTCTTGTGGGAAAGACAAATTCTCTAATTTTTTTTTATTGAGAGAATCCCAGTGGTAATTTGTTTTCTTGTGAGAGTAAGATGCGATTTGTAATGCAGGAACGTGGGTATGTGTTGTATGAATCAAACCAATGATTCAAAACAAAAACTAGGGTTTTATTATATTGACCACCCTAAAATCCTACTGTCCTGTTTAGTTTAGTTCATGGGAAGAAAGGACTTGAATGAAGAGACATAAAAAAAAAAAAGTGGTAAAAGAGGACCATTATGCCCAAGTTGGTAAGATGTGTTAGGTCCTATCCATCAGATCTTGGATAAAAATTTTGCTTTGGTTCAAAATTTGGATCAATTTAAAAGTGAAAACATTTTGAAAACATAATGGGAACAAATATTAATAATGTTCTTATGAAACATTAAAATATAAAAAAAAATTAATATACAATTGTCAATTTGTCTGAAAACTTAAAAGTTGTTATTTTGATCCATACTTTAGAATAATTAACTTACTGGAAGTCATAGCTTTCTTTTATGTTTTGAACCTTTTGTGTGGGATACGAGTTTTTTGGGTTGAAATCCTCTTTAATATATTTTTACTTAATTTTGTTAAATGTAATAAATCACCTGCCATCAATTCAAATAAAGTTTACTATTTATAGATGGATTGCTCATCTATGCACGTTGAGGGAGATATATATTTACAATAGATTTACGCAAAGTTCCTATTTATGAGTAGGTTAATTGTCTATATAGTGATATATTATTGAATCAAATTAAATGAAAGTGTGAATGTCTGTGTTCTCATTGAGAGAGAGAGAGAGAGAGGACACAATCAACCTTGAAGACTCGTAAGTCTGAAAACGTGAATGGATTAGCAAGATTTCGTAAAATGATGGCTTTTGCGGCCTTGGCCTTCTGAAGAATTCCAAACCCAAAAACTTGAAGTTCTCTTTGTTGTGTGTGTGTGTGTGTGTGTGTGAGAGAGAGAGAGAGAGGGGGGGGGGAGAAAGAGATTATTACTGAGGGTAGATTCTGAAAATGTCCCATCCAAAAAGAAAGGTCGGTGATTCTCCATAGGATCATTGGCCCATTGTTAACATCAATCTTTCAAATAATAAACAAAAGCCACCTCAACCCTCCCTACAGCATCCCCACCTACATTATTACCATTATATTATACACATAAGTACAGAGAGAGAGAGAGAGAGAAACGTTTCTTAACCTTTAAACGAAACTTCACTGTTGATGCCTAACAAAGCAAAGGATTTTTATTAATGCTGCACATTGGCACACCATCCTCAAACAGTTCAGACCAAACTCCATAAAAGAAACCAAAAGTATGCCATCTGGTCTTTTTATCTTTCGACTTTTCAACTTTACAAAAAGAAACCGCTAAACTTATAAAATATGTATAGTTTAGACTTTTAAAAACTAATCCTTGTCCTTTTTCATCACAGCACAATCTCATAAAAGCTATATGCCTAAGTCTCGTCATAGTCTGCTTTTAAATACTTATAATCCTTCCTTGTGATCCTTGATATTGTCAAACAATATGTTTTGTTAAATACATTATACCTACTAGCATAATTTTCTAGGATCATTTCTCATATCTATGCTTTATGTTCAAAGTCTGGACTAAAAGCTTACCCCTACACATCATGAAAAGTGGTTGGAATTGCTACAACGTCTAGTGGGATCTAAAGTGGGTACTTAAATGGAGAGCAGAGATACATTCTGAACCACAATTGAATGAGAAGTCAAACCATGTTGACTTCAATGGATTTAGTGCAAAACTAGAAAGACTCTCTCTCTCTCTCTCTCTCTATATATCTCACACACACCCCGCATGCACTCACAGTCAGACTCACACAGGCATGCACACGCACTGCAGTTCTAATTGGCTCTAACTCTGCACGATAAGTAGAATTTTATAGGCATAATCTGGGAAATTACAGAATTACCTTAATATAAAGGTAGATAACATGTATTTCAACACACTAATTAACATTTCTTTCACCTTTTTTTTTTTTTNTCTCTCTCTCTATATCTCACACACACCCCACATGCACACACAGTCAGACTCACACAGGCATGCACACGCACTTCAGTTCTAATTGGCTCTAACTCTGCACGATAAGTAGAATTTTATAGGCATAATCTGGGAAATTACAGAATTACCTTAATATAAAGGTAGATAACATGTATTTCAACACACTAATTAACATTTCTTTCACCTTTTTTTTTTTTTTTTTTTTTTTGAAGAATAAATTTTGAAAAACTGGAAGGGAAGGCTAATCTTTCAATTTTTATCTCGTTCTCATTTTTTTCCTTACTAAACATGATGATTTATATATTCTTTTAATTTTTTATCATTCTACTTATTCATCATAAAAAAAAAAAAAGCATTAATCATAATAACTAAAAGATAGAAATGGAATCAAGAAGAAAAGGTCTAGGAAGGTGGTGATGGTTAGGTGCTAANCCACTTTTTCATCATAAAAAAAAAACATTAATCATAATAACTAAAAGATAGAAATGGAATCAAGAAGAAAAGGTCTAGGAAGGTGGTGATGGTTAGGTGCTAACGAAAAGTGCTCTTTCATCCCTACCTATTCTTTGCAATGAGCTTTACACCATCAATAATGTAAGTTGTTTTGTACGAGTTTTCAAGTAGATTCTTTATTTCAATTTGTAGAGAATCTNCTTCTTTTTTAAAACTTTCTTTTTTCTAGATAAGCTTAAGGGGTTCTTTTGTTTCCATACTACTTATTGCAAAGTTTATTCAAATTTAGATTTAAACAAGGTTTTTCTATCTTTAATTGTACGTGATGGAAAATTTCAATGAGCTTTACACCATCAATAATGTAAGTTGTTTTGTACGAGTTTTCAAGTAGATTCTTTATTTCAATTTGTAGAGAATCTTTAGTTTTTTTGATCTTTTCTAGATATTTTTTTTTTTTGATAACCCAAGAATCCCCCACCAACCAACTCCATTTAGACCCGTGGCCAATAATCAACTAGAGTCCACAAGTAAATCCTCCGGTTAAGGTGTAGGGATTAAATCTAGGAAAGGTGACCCTAAATAGCATTTTTACTTTGAGGAGTATTAAACCCTTCATTAAGGCATCTATCAAGTGATCAACTACCACTTGAACTAACCCCTTGGAGATTATTGTTTCTATAGTTGTTATTATTAATTAAGATGCTCAATCATTTTTGTTAAAACATGTAAAATATATTATGCTTTCCTCTTTGCCTTCTAAGATAATTCTTTTTGTCCAGGGAAAGAAAAAAGGAAATGCTACACCAACCAAAGTCACTCAATAAATCTCCTCACAAAGGGACGTGGCACATGATTACATATTTGATAATTTTCAGAAAAATATAATAATAATATTTCATTATCATGTATGTATGTGCAATTATATTTCTAGGTGAATGGCTAGGGTTCATGTATAATTGCAGGCTAATACTCTTCAAAAAAAAAAAAAACATAATACAATGTACAAACCCAACATATACCCATCATGAAACGAGAGGAAGTGGTCCTCGTTTCGAAACGTTTGCCGATAAATGCGGCTACTTGCCGCCTCTTTACTTTTGTATCAGTTTGCGTATGGAAGATGACTTTTTGTAACTATTGGAGACGACGCGAGAGAGAGAGAACAAAAATATGGTAAAATATATGTTTAAATAACAAAAACAGTTGCAGGATTTGACCCATTTAGACAATATAAAAATACATGTATGTATGTAGAACAATCAACCAGCTCAAAACCCTATTAGATGAATTAAATCATTACAAGTTAACAACTCTTTTCCTTCATTGTTGCGTATGGAGAAGAGCTGCTTTGTATGAAAAGTCAGCGACTCTCTCTTTCTCTCTCTCCGCCCTCAAAACCATTTTTTTTATTCATTTGTTTGAGAAGAACAACACCAGTTTCAACCATCAAAAACGTGTTTGCTTCTTCAACGTCAAAACCCTCCAAATCATTCACCGGAAAAACACCTTCAAAGAGCATGTTCTTCACGTCTGTTTGGTGCAAGAAATACCAAACTTTAGAGGTCAAATGAAACTCTATTGTATTGTTTCTTTTTAAGTATGTGCAGTAACTTCCTTAAGAGAATGGAAAGTCATCAAGGTGATTTAGCTGACATAGTTAGAGCAATCGGTGGACCGATAAGCGGCGGTATCGGCAACACCTCCGGCGAGCTACCGGCTGTCAACGATTGGCAGTTTCCTTCCGATCCCATGAACTATCCTTCAGGGATCGAAGTACTCTCCGATGAATTTGGCGATCCGTTTTACAGCATGAGAGATCCACTTCGTCACGAGCTCTATATGCCCAGTTCAGGCTTTTTCAATAGCTCAAATTCAATCAGTTCAACAAACATAATGAAGGCTACTAGTGTTGAAGACACGGGTGGCTTTGGTGGTGGTGGTGCAATTATTGCTCAGAAGACTCCTGATCAGGAGATGAAAAGACCTTGCAATATTTTCTCAAGGATGCTTCAGATATCTCCGAACGTTAAGTTTCCACTATCTCCTCGTGATTCTCCAGTGGCGGTCGCATCACCGAGGGAAGTTAAGCCTCCTAGCTTAGTTTCTAATGATATGACAAGTCCAAGCAGCTCTAAAGGTTCCTTATTAGAAAACTCTGGGGTTCAGATCTCAACTCCGAGAAATACGGGCATTAAGCGAAGGTAAGAACTGATNTCCTAGCTTAGTTTCTAATGATATGACAAGTCCAAGCAGCTCTAAAGGTTCCTTATTAGAAAACTCGGGGGTTCAGATCTCAACTCCGAGAAATACGGGCATTAAGCGAAGGTAAGAACTGATTCAATCAATTATGTATAGGTCAAATCTTCATGTTTTATTGGTTTTATGATCAGATTCTTGTAAGATTCTGATGTTATATGCCATAATTAAAGCATAAAAACAGAAGCTTTATAGTTAATTATAAATGGTGTTGGTTGTAACTTGTAGAAAAGATTGATCTCTCAAGTTTATAGAACTTGGGTTTATTCATATTAGCTGTGAAGATCTGAAATTAGGGTTTGGAGAAACAAATAAGAGTTGCAAGCAGATAAATGATTTGAGTTGATATTGCTTTCTGTCAACATTTTCTCACAAAACAAGCACTATATCTGGAGGCGTATTAATCCATCATAAAAGTAGCCAAACTGCTGTCAAAACTATGTACACAGACTTATCTTTCATGTAGTTATCTATAACTACTTTCCTCCACAAAACCACCTGCAAAAGATTTGCGTTTAATGGTCGTGGCCATTAGAATTTGCTATCACTTTCAGCTTTCTTAAAGAAAAATAAGCCAAGACCCATGACAGTTTTTCATCCAAACAGTAGTATTGAACTACTTTTCGACCACAGAAAGAAACTTATTGAGTTCATTAAATCCATGTCTTAGACTCTTTGTTAGAACACTATCTTGACTGTGTCTTTGCTTTGTGACACTTAAAAAAAACACAAGCTTTGTTTTGAACTGAATGTACTCAGGAAGAGCCAGGCAAAGAAGGTAGTTTGTATACCAGCACCAGCACCTGCAAACAGTAGGCCTAGTAGTGGAGAAGTAGTTCCATCTGATCTCTGGGCTTGGAGAAAGTACGGTCAGAAGCCTATTAAAGGTTCTCCTTATCCTAGGTAAGGTCGTTCTCAGTCTCATATCTTCATCGGATAGTTCTTTCAATTCTTCTGGAATCATTCTATGTTTTGTTGTTTTTTCATGCTCTTTTTAGCATTTTTTTGAGACATTTAATTACTAATTGTTAATAACTTGTCATGCTTGATCAACATATTTAACAAACATAATATCACCCAATTATAAGTAGCCTTCTTGTTAGTTAGAAGTCGACCTGCAACTTTTGTCAAACACGTATGAAGATGAACAAAGTTATAAAATTGCTTGCTTACCAAAAAAAAAAAAAATTTAAAATTCCTTTAGAATGGGAAAAGTATCCTAACCCAAAAATTTCTCCAGCAATAAAAACCTTTTTAATTTGTTGAATTACATCAATATTCTTTTATACCTTCTTTAACAACTTCAAATTTTAAATTAATTGTTCGGTCTGCAAAATGTGAGAAGAGGAGTCCTATACTCAAATAATACAGTTGTTAAAAAGAAAAGCACGTATTTGACTCAAAATTTAACCTACACAAGTTAAAGTATATAAGTTCTTAAGTCACCCTCTCTATACACTTAATCTTTTAGAGTAATTGGTCGTTTTGATATAATTAGCATGATACAAGATTCTTGATATATCAAGTCTTAGAATATAATCTAACTCCTTATTAAAGAAGCACAGAGAATAATCTTAGTTCAGTACTATAGGCTTTTGTTAATTTATGTAATTTTACAACTATACATGCAGGGGCTATTACAGATGCAGTAGCTCTAAGGGCTGTTCAGCAAGGAAACAAGTGGAACGTAGCAGAACAGACCCCAACATGTTGGTCATCACATACACTTCTGAGCATAACCACCCATGGCCTACCCAGAGAAATGCTCTTGCAGGCTCTACTAGATCTCAACCATCCAAGAACACCTCATCTTCCAAGAATTCACCAGCCTCTCAGGCTCAAAAAACAACAATGTTAAAGGAAGAACATAAGGAGATCAATAATGATAATGTGTCCATCGCCACTGGGAGTTCAATAACAAGCACAGTCGTGAAAGAGGAAATGGAAGAGCTTGATGAGAAAATAGAAATGGAAGATGGTGAATTCAGTGAAGGATTTCCTCAGAGCTACAGGCCAGAATTGCCAGACTCCAATCATTCTGAGGATTTCTTTGCAGATTTAGGAGAAATAGAGGCTGACCCTCTAAATCTCTTGTTCACTCAAGGTTTATCAGGAGATGAGAGAGTAGACAAGGCCCTTGATCCATTTAGTTTCTGTGATTGGACAGCAAATAACAGTACCAGAAACCACTACACATCCTTTGGAGAAGGCTAAAAAGGGTTTATAAAAAAGACCATGAAACAACAAGACCCACAAGAAAACAGACACTTGTAAGGTTTTTTCTGGGGTGCAATTTGATTCAAGGTGCCACTCTTATGTGAGTTCAGTTGTTGGGAGGTTTTTTTCTACTCTCTTAACATTTTCTTGCTGTGTAACTATATTATGAAAAATACTTTTTAGTACCGCACCTCTTATTTTTCACTTATCAGACGAGCAGTACCATTTGTGCTATCTTTCTCTTGTTATTTACCAGAAGAGTCAGAAGTTTAGGAGGAAAAGTGAAAGAGAGTGCTGGTTGATTGGGAGCAGACCCCATGAGTCCCACATTCCTTTTGGAATATTGGAGGATGGGACAGAAAGCTGAGGAACAGAAGGTTTGAACAGTAAATACAAGTACATCCATCAGACATGACTGGAAAGCTCAGTGAGGAGATTGATGTTAGATGGGACTCTCTCTCTCATCTTTCAAAGTGGGATAAATTATTCAAGCCAGGCCCTGTTGGTCATGTGGGCATACCACCAAGAAGAACCATGCTTTAATAACTTTGAAGGGAAACAAACAAATTATAAAAGGTTGCAAGATTTAAGGGGGAAAGTATTATGAAAAGCTTGACTTTTCTGATCAGTCTTCCATAGGGATATGCAGAAGAGAGACAAAATACAAACTTTGGTTTCCTCAGCTTTCTGTTTCTTTAATCTATCTGAGTTTGTGTTTATATTGGGTTGTTTATTTCCATTTGTTCTACCTATAAAAGGATTGTTTATGAGAAGCAAAGGAAAATACCATCTAGTCTAGTCGGCTCTATCTGTGATGAGTTTTGGAAAAATGAGTACAATATGACTATTCAGGTAGGCATAGTTCTTATATTTTCTTTTGGGGTTTAATCACAATATTAAAAAATTATTTTTTTTTTACCAGTTTCTTTTCTATTTATCTAAGAAAAAATGACACATGTAAGGCTTTTTCATTTTATTAGTTTCAAAATCAATAACTACAAATGCNTCTTTTTTTTTTACCAATATCTTTTCTATTTATCTAAGAAAAAGTGACACATGTAAGGCTTTTTCATTTTATTAGTTTCAAAATCAATAACTACAAATGCATTAAACCAACATTTTAGGACAATTAATCATTTTCAATATGGTACCAAAAATTTCTTATGGGTACTATGTCCTTATTCTTNGCATTAAACCAACATTTTAGGACAATTAATCATTTTCAATATGGTACCAAAAATTTCTTATGGGTACTATGTCCTTATTCTTTCTGTAGTTGTGAATGGAGGTCTACCAGTGCATGTGAGGATGAGGTTCATCCTTGCTTCAGGCACATTATTAAATGTTGGTTATAGTGATCACCTGGAGTAGGTTTAAGGATAAATTTAAGAAACATTTCCCCATAATTTCCTAATCGACTTGAAAAATCAATAGTTTCTTTTGAGATGAATTGAAACATTAGGTTTCGAGTCTAGTTTTGTGCTACAAGTTAGTTTTGCATATCTTATATGGGATAAATTACACTCTCCCATCCCATTTTGATCATTTAACTATCATATATTGCACGTAACTTCAACTATGATTATTAATTTCAGTGTCCAAATAATTGATGACATAAAAAATTTGATGAAAATTTATTTCATTTTGGTTCCTTATACTATGGAATTTTATTTCACGTTACCCCGACCAATAGTGAACATTTACTATTTATTTCACCTACAGACTAATTCTGTTTGCATCATTGTAAATCCCCCATGTAGTTCCCCTCAGTCTCAATATCAAACTGAGGATAAGTATAGGAAGAAAAATTAACCCTTTTCTTAACAACATGGACTCTGGAAAAATAAAACCTGTAGGAAATCATACATAATATGAGGAAATTATTACAGATATGCATTAACAAAAAGGAAAGGAGAACAAGAACCTTGGTTGTAACACATTCCTAGAGAAATAGATTCAATAGTTTAGAAAAGAAATTAACTTTATGTTCGGTTCAGAAATTGGATGCCATGATAATGGCAAAACCTTAAGAATTCAAAAGTAACAGCCTGACATTAGATAATTAGAAATCATCAGAAAAGTTGCAGGAATTTCTTTTTTTCGGAAAGTAATTAAGCTTTTCTGATAAGGTCAAAGAACGTATAAAGAGAAAAGAGTTTTTCCATCAGTAGCTGCTTCTCAACATTTTTTGTCTGAGTTGTTGACCATCACCTAACTCAACCTTCCGTAACCGAAAAGTTTGTATACAAAAATCTTTGTTAAGTAATTAGCTTGATTTACTGCAGCTGTTCTATTTCTTTTTTCTTTCTTCCTCCTCCTCCTCTTCCTCCTCCTCCTTCATAAGCCAAAAGAACTCTTCATTCTACTGAAGTTGACAAAGCTAATGAGTTGGCTAATTCAATCCAACAAATAAGGTTTGGGAAATATAAAAGAGCACCCACAGAACACATGGTTGGAGCTACGCACTGTAATGCTTATGCCACCCATGAAATGACAACTATAACTTGAGAATAGTCTGACAAAATTCTGATTCTCCCTTTACAACTCAGCCACCAGAATGCATTATTTGACTACAGTGCCTAATAAAATTTGGTATTGTGTGACTTTCAAATTTTGGAATTACTTATTTTAAAGGTTTGCTTACCATCTTTTTCAATGAAAAGTTATTATTTTTTTATATTTCGGTATAATATCGAAAAATAAAATATATTATTAGACATGAACTCTTGTTTAGTTTTGATTTATAAGTTTTGATTTACGCAGTCCAGAATATGAACACAAAGTTGCATACAATTTCCATTCAAACAAAGTTGAAAAGCATAACATAAATGGTTAAATCTAATCTGCTTTGCAGAATAAGGGTTCGACATATGCTTTTATTTTAGGATAATATTATAGGACTACTTTGGAACCATAAAGAAAATCGATCGTAGCCATAAATCTTGTCTTGATTTTGTTGTTATTTGTTGATCTTAAAAATCATAACATGATTTATAAAATATAGAACTACAGATGTATTTGTCGTTAGACTCAAGAGAACTATCAGTTTATCACACACTCATACTAAGATAATGGAAGAGACTTAGATAAGAGAAAGAAATAACTCTTTTAATTCGCTTATACTAAAGAAACTTTCAGTTCAATTTCATTAAAATCATCATCAAAATAGATTGTTTAGACACACAACTCTACTTTATTCAAATACTAGATCGCATATACACCATTTATAAATGTTCCAAACGTAGCTCGTAATGTCACATTCATACCCCACTAATTACACTAGAAATAAAGCCCTGCTAACACTCTTATCTTCTGCTATTAACAAATTGATGATTCACTAATAATTAATATTAACACACACCAATTTAATAATATAAAAAACTTATAATTCATAATATAAAATAAAACCGATTTCAATAAATTTATTCGACGGTCTCAAATAGATTTATCTAATGGCCACCAATATTCCTCTCAAAATTATTCACATTAAATTTTTCCCCTTTTAAATTTATCATATCTCACTTACCGTGCCTTCAAGTACAAATTATTCCTAATTATATTTATATTCCGACATATATTTCAGGGATGTGGCAATTTTTGTTCAAATCATGAAGGTTTGTGTCATGGAAACAATCTAAGTTATATGATTTATTGACAAACAGTGACCTCAAGTTCTGTCAAATCCATCATCTTTCACGAAAAATTCGATACCCATCTCAACCGAAGTCACTTCTTTGAAGAAAAGAAAAAAAGAACAGTCTAAAGTTAGTATGTAATGGGCTTTCTCAAGTTGATTGATGAGCTAGTACTCATTATGAGGTTGATGGAAATTTTTGCGCATTTTGGGTTTATTGGAGAGACTGTAGTTGTCATGATTCTGCAAAGGAAAAAAATGTATTGATCCAGGATCCAGCTCTAACATCCAGGAACATCAATATTATTTGAATTTAATTTATTAATTTAATCACTTATAATTATTATAGTGATGGTGAGTTTCAAGATTTGTTAAAATTTACTATCAATTCAATTATTGTGATAGATTACATTAACAAATTATATCAACAAATTATGTTTTAATAATATTATTGATCGAGAAAATATATATTGGAGTACTTTACACATAAATCTTTTTATATTTTTTTAGTCCCATTATTGTACCTCCACTTTTAAATCAATAAAAATATGCCATGTGGATAATTTTTTTTAGTTTATAATTATTATTATTATATTATTATTTTAATCAATAATTACAAATCATCGAATTCAAAATTAATAATTAAGATTGATAAAGATAAGGGAACAATAGTCTTGCCCAATATTTCTTTGCTATAATTTGGGTTCTGATCTCCAACACAAATCCTTAAAATCATTCACATGAAACATCATTTCATGCTTTCATGGGTTTTTGGTCAAATATTTTATCACATCTTTAGCAAAAGTTGGCTTTAGTTTCAAAGATTATTATTATTATTATTATTATTATTTTGCTAGGGAAACTAATTTAGAATTTACTTTTATACCCCCTTCCTCTTATGATATGGACCACACACAAGTCATTCTTGCTAATTTAATCATTAAAAATATAGAATAGATAGGGAAAGCAATATTTGTTTGGTAAGCTATTTCTTTCATGATCTCTCTCTCGGTATAAAATGTCTCAATCTGAGTATCAAAATGTCTTAGATACCCTTTCATTTCTCTATTTCTTAATTATTATTATTCTTCCGCGCTTAGATCATACGTTTTATACTTCCTTGCTTGGCTCAATCTTTTATAAATTGGAATCGCAAAGAAATTGATGTGGCCTCTCCCCTATTATTGTTATAATACATCAAATTCCACGATTCGATTTATCAAATCTTATGCTTCTACGCAATGACGAATCTAATGGGCGGGTGAGTGATTATTATGGAAAATCATTATTACTATACATTTATACAATATTAATTATGAACACCCGCACAATATATACACTCGCCCTCTTCAACCTTTTCAAATATCTAAAAGACCATTGTTATATAATTTCATATCGTAATTTAAATTGTTGGATCTGTCCCTTTCTCTGTCTCTGTCTCTGTATATCTATGAAGTCTTAAACTCAACTCTATAAATTTTCTTTTTGTTTTTTTATCAGCAACATCTTATCACTTAACTAGGATATAGCAATGAGATCAACCAAGATTTTAGATGGGACTAGGGGGGCGGTAGAACTTTTTCTTTTTTGGTAAGAAAGAAGTGGCAACTTGGTTTTGACAAGATGTATTTTTGTCATTTGATTGGCAAAATAACTCTCCCAATTACTTCTTCACTCTTACGCAACTTGTATGGTCTTTTGTAATCTAAGTGGATGGAAACACTTCAACACTATGACAGTTTAATCTCAATCACTTGTCACGCTGCGAATCCATTGATTTGAACTCAAAAGTTTAACTTTTTTACTAGAAACATACAAAACATTGATTGAAAGCAAGCTCTACGAATTTGGTTAGGAACTAGTCACTATTGGTTGAGTGCACCAAACTTTAAGCACAGTTAGTGATTTAATATTGAGAGTAATTGAGTATAAGTTCACTAGAGAAAATCTAAACCCCTCTACTAAAAACATAATTACTCAGGCGTCCACGTACGACTAGTNTACCCCACTAATTACACTAGAAATAAAGCCCTGCTAACACTCTTATCTTCTGCTATTAACAAATT